GGATTAACCGTGTTTAACAAAGATCCCAGTGGAAGAGAGATCTCGCAGGACGTCTTCAGGGGTGTCTTCTAGGTAGCCGATGACAGTGATTTCCACAGGACCAGAGTATCCTAAATTCTTCAACGCCGATTCTATACTCGGACGGATCCGACGAGCATAATAACCATGTGGAATCGGACAGGTGTTGATGTCCCACCACACCGCCGTTTTAGCTTTCACGTGCTCAGGCTTCGCCGCGTAACGTTTCTCCATCAATATTCTCGATCCCTAGGGTTTCCTTCAACTTTGAATTATTAGGTGAACCTTATCATATACATAAGTCTTCGTTTAGTACAACAATGTACTAGATTCTAGCCCACGCAAGGTAATATTTTTATAGATTTTTGTTTTTTAATTTTAAAAATGTGAAATGAGAAATAAGACCTAATTTAATTATTTGTTTTTTGAAAAGGTTTCTTTGTTAATAGATTAACAATCATATAACCTAATTTAAATGTGTTGAAATTGTATTGTATTAACTATAATAACCTTAGAAAGTCTCTTCTTGACTAATAGGATGCAAATCTTTCAAAATTACTATAACAAACTAGGGTATCTCTTTTACCATTCTTTTATTTTGTTCACAATAAACACGTATTTACAAAATAGCATTATTTTTTTTTTACATGGACAAATATATTTGTGCTAAAACAAATAAGTATATTAGTGTAGTGACGGTAGATTTATTTAGAGATCGGTAGACTTATTTCCAGTCAGTAGGTTTGTTAGAGTAACGGTAGACTTTGCACGTTTGAGCGTGAAGAAAATTCAGCCTCGAACAAAAAAGGTAATCTTGTTTACTTGGTATGAAATGGAGCTAAAAACATAAAAAATCTCACTAAAATCATATTAGAGCTGCAAGATATCATCCATTTAAGCCATTCGGCCAATGGCGAGCAAATGGAGCAGGAAGAAGATTTTGAAGCTAATCATATGAACACTTGAAGATATCAACCATTTCAACTTAAAAGGACTTCAAGAAGAATAATTCATCAAGAATTTCAAACTGGACGAACAACCACCATGGATAAACAATTTAGCTCCATTCTTCGCCAATCATACACATTGCTAATCAAAGGCAAAAAATATTTCAAGTAGTAACTTGGAAACACTTGAAACATCCACCTATAACATTAAGCAAAGCCAAAGACAGAACTCGTTTGTGCACCATCCCAACCATGGTTCNTGTAACCACAAAGTGACATGAAAAAACTAACTAATTATTTGATGAGCATATTAGTCTAATTTTACCCATTTAATGCCATATTATGTGAGTTAACTTCTAACCCCAACAAAGCCATTTGCATCCTTAGGCATTCTACAATCAAACATCTAATTTATCAAATCAAGAAGGAAATAAACAAATGATTTCAATCAAAGAACAATGCTCTCTCGATGATTCTTCTTCGATCAAAAAACAAAACACTTTTTCTTTGAAGTATGAGAAACAAAAAAAAATTGCTATAATTTACACATACATGCCATTATTGGTAAACATGACACAACATTCTCATTTAATCAACATACAAATTGGTCTCCATTTTATCAAGAGAATGAAAGAGTAATAAACTTGGAAAATAAGGAACAGCTAAACCATAGTAACCAGAGAAATACAGATGATAAATTGCAGAGTCGGGATCAAGATCGAAAGCAACGAGGTTATCTTGATCACGAAGAGAGAGGATGACCTTATTGTTATCCCTTGAAATGGCCAAAGGTGTGAGAGGTTGCGAAGTGATACCGCGAAACCAAGTGGAAGTAGAACGCAAGTCAACCGTGAAGATCTTCTCCCATTTTGTGTTGTCCTTAACACTCCACCAAAATTCTTGCTTACAGTCATCTCCTTTCAACTCAGAAATGCAGAGACGTCCATCGAGATTGCATAAACCGATGGTCTCAGGAGAGGCATCAAGGGTAATAAAAGGTGGAGTTGGGACGAGTTGAAACATCTCTGTATGAATATCGAAAAGAATGAGTTTCGTTTGTGTGGATGGATATCCTTCCTCGTCGTCTCCCGTAAGCCAGTAGAATGATCCGTTTGCAAAGGCGGGCCTCTGGTTTGTTAAGATGTGATGATGATCAAGAGGCCTAGTAGTCACGAATCTCCATTTCTTATCTTGTAAATCCAAAACCTCGCATCCGGTCATCTTCTTGCCAAGTGAACGAGTAGTAGTAGGATATTTATTAAATAGCCTTACATTACAAGCTTATATCTTCCCGTAACACCATCTTTCCCAAATCCAAACCGAGTAAATCCATAAAATTGACCTGCTGGCTCTGGATCTGGTCCGGTAACTAGAACAAGATCCGGGTTGGGATAGTCAATATGCAGTCGTTGAATTCTAGCTAGAGGGAGCGATATGGACATTCCAGAGGCAGGATTCATGAGTTCTAAAGGTATTGTCATGCCATAAATGCAGACAAGACCATCGCAGCTCTCGGAAATCTGGAGAAACCCTCTGAATTCCTCGAATTCCAGAGACTCTCGATGTTCTAGAGAAGCGGTCATGGTCTCCTTCAATGTCGTCGTCATTGTCTGAATAAAAAGTGTGTTTCTCGAACGATTTACTAAGTCATCACAGATAAAAAAGAGCTTGGGATCTTTAGTTTTCTGATGAGACATGTACCTTTCCCCAAAATCTCTTGAACTAACCAGAGATTCCCAATGTTTCGACACAGTTTGGAATCTTATGAGCGAAATCACTGGAAGCCTCACCAGAATTTCTTCGACGATATCGTTGGGTATCAGAATCTTCTCACGCTCTCTTCTTCTTCTTCGTTTGATTTCTCTTGAAGCTTGTTCCAACGTAAAAGGTCTCTGATTCGATGTCATGTCTTTTCTTCTTACTTCATGAACATGTGCCCTATTTATAAACCATGTGTCTTCTTTGCTTCTCCGTCGATTTCCGAATTCCATCATAAGTTGGTAAGAAACAGTTTCGAGGAACAAAGGAAGACTATAAAAATAAAAATAAAAACGAACCGACAAAACCAAACACTCTCTTTAAACGTCATCGGTTAGTTACAAATAGAATTACGTTTACGTGGTTGTGTCAAACGAGTCATTAGATAATGAGCGGGCTCTCACCTTGGATTTTGACGAATACGAGTGTAAAAGCTGAATTCTGCACTAAGTATTTGTATGTGATAGTTCACCTTGGATTTTGACGAACGCGAGTGTAAAAGCTGAATTCCGCACTAAGTATTTGTATGTGAATTCGGAGAAAAAACTTTGATCCTAAAAAATATCCTCAGGGGATGAGAGCCCTCGCAGGATGTCTTCATGGGTGTCTTCTAAGTAGCCGATGACAGTGATTTCCACAGGACCAGAGTATCCTAAATTCTTCAACGCCGATTCTATACTCGGACGGATCTGACTTGCATCATAACCATGTGGAATCGGACAGGTGTTGATGTCCCACCATATTGCCGTTTTAGCTTTCACGTGCTCAGGCTTCGCCGCATTACACTTCTCCACCCCTAGGATTTCCTTCAAATTTAAAATATTAGGTGAACCTT